AATTCCAGTGAAATATATTTATGTTTGTGGTTGTAATGTGACAAAATATGGAAAAGTTCAAGGGGTAYGAATACTTTTGCAAACCACTGTAACTAGTGACTGAACATAGCTGCATAATCAAGCTAAAGACACCCTAATAATTTAGATTCGGATTAGTTTATTTTTAAAGTGTCAATACTAATTTAAAAAAATCTTGTGGCACTTTTACAACAAGTCCAGATCATGAATCTGAATTAATTATAAACTGTCAGTTCAGTCCTGTTATAAAGCAATGCTGTCAGAATCAGTGKAAACCAATATGATAATAAGTAAAGAGTTATGTTTTTATGGAAGCCAGCAGACCGCATCAAAACAATCCCAAATCAGGAGGTGACAGTGGGAAGAAATGACCCCCTTTTAACAGGAAGAATCCTCCAGTAGAACCAGCAGGATCTGCCTCAACAGGCTATAAAAGAAGGGTGATAGTGTAATAGTCAAATAATCAAAATCTAATTTTGATGAAACTCTTAGAAAGTAACTATTGGATGTAAATAAATATYTGATTAACTTTCAGCTCAGTCAGTTTTACAGATATAAAGCTTAAATTTGGTGTGGTAGTAGCTGAGACTCAGCCCCATCAAAACTATAAGTGCAAATCACGTGAGAGCTTGGCATAAAACTTTGTGTTGATTTTCTCACTTTATTACCTAGAGCACATGTGTCAAACTCAAGGCCCGCGGGCTGGATGTGGTCCRCGGGTGACTCCCGTGTGGCCCGCSAGGGGGGTAATCCCCCTGGCAATACATACCATTTATTTTATCAAGATGCCTGCAACAGCTCTCATGTTTTCCCCTTAAAATTAGTCTAATAAAATGTTCTGTTGCAGTTTCCTGTGTTTTATTGGGTTGTAYGTTCCCAGAAGCCCTGCTGCTGTTGTAGAGAAATCTTATTTGATTACCTGCCTCTCAGTTCGGTTGACTCACTCCTCCTTGTTGTTGTTGGAGCCTTTTTTCCCGTCTCAGAGCCGCGGCAAACCTAATTTATCCTAAATTTGTTTCTCCTCGTAAACCGAGGCACATATTTATGTGTGAATCAAACAGGTGCCCTCGGTGCTAACGATCACATCTCGTTCAGCATCCTTTCAATCACGACACAGACTTTACTTAGGTTTTTTTTTTATATTGTCCCCAATCCTGCAAACAGAACTACAAACCTTCTGCTTATTACTGATGACTGACTGCTGTTCTCTGGGACAACGATCAGCCGACGCTCAGACAAATATTTTCCTTCCACTAAAGAATGCTCTCACATATCTCAACCAGGAGCTTCAAACCTTCTGGTGGTTTGAGGCCTGACYAGATAAAAATCAAAAAATGGGTGCAGGCTTTCCCCCCCGCCTCCTCCCTACTGTCAATTAAAATATCTGTGGCTGACATTTCTGAACAAACTGGTTTATTTAAGCAGCGTGGACAAACCTGTGGTTTTTAAAATGACTTTTCTCCACKATTCCTTTTGATTTCTATCAAACTCTCAGACAGATGACGGAGCAGCGAGTTCACATGCTGAACTCATTACAGTTCATCAGTCTCTGAGGGTCTCAGACATCACTTCTAGTTTATTTACATCTAACCTACTGTGCAGTGGGGGGTAGTAATACAGCTGAGAACAAAAATGARAAGCTGGGATTGGACATCTAAAGACAAAAACATGAAAGCAAAAATAAAAATATAAGGCAAAAGGTACTGTATTTGGGTTTAGTTTCATATAAAAAACAGCTATTTGTCTTTTCCTAGAAGAAACAATGACATAAATTCCAGGCAGCACAGTTAATGGAGTGTTCTTAATCACTTCCTGCCCAGCTGCTCTGGCCAGGACAGAGGCTACAGAAGATCAGATCATTTGGGTTAACTCGATTTGAAAACTGGAGGTCAGAAATCATATCATTGAATCATACGTGAGGTAACATGATCATAATGCTGTCGGGGAAAATACTGGATTCTAATCACTTCACAAAATTAAGAAAGAAAATGTTGATTATATGATATTTTCTATGCAATGATTAACCCAAAATGGGAAAATCAGACCATCATTAATCAGGATTGTCTGAATAATTACGTCCCTTTCAGATCTGACGATGTAATCAGAAGTAAATCAGGTTTGAAATCAAATTTCTTAATTTTTAATGTACAGTACGAGGACACATACTTGAGCGCTTGGCATGGACTGGACTCAGATCTGCAACACAAGCACAAACATGGAATGTTAAATAAAAAAAAGAGAAATAAAAACAACCCATTTGCTGAGTTATTTTTGTCTGTAAACACAAGAAGATTCTTTCGGAGCAACACAGCAAATATTTTAGACCCCATGGGAAACAAAGACGTTATGAATAACCGTATCTGAATAACGCACAGCTGAGTGTTGGAAGACACTGTGGTATAAAAATAGGAAGCACTTTTTAGAGGTTGTTGCACGGCTAAAAGGCCAGATGTTGTATATAAATCACACATGGCTGCACACTGTCAAAAAGAAAAAGCTTTGTAAATCATAAGAAACGCAAACTCTAGTGAACGTGTTTTAGTCTAGGTAGCACTCAGCACTTTAGGTGACAATAAAATAATAAAAAAGAGCTATAAATATGCAGATATAATTCCACCCCTGCTGAACTATCTGCAGCTGAGGTGGAGCTTCATGTTGTGAGAACCTCGTTTTATCTTCCTGTTCGATCTTGACCTGACAAAACGAAGGACTTTATGATGGCAGTAAAGACGCCCTCTGTACCTGTTTCTCTCTCTCACACACACACACACACACACACACACACACACACACAC